GTGTGTGTGTGTGTGTGTGTGTGTGTGTGTGTGTGTGTGTGTGTGTGTAGTCCTACCCTGATGGCTGGAACCTACCCGGCGGAGGAGCTCAGAGAGGAAATGTTCTCAACCTGAATGGAGCAGGAGACCCACTCACACCCGGGTACCCCGCTAAGGGTGTGTATCTCTGCGTGCTTATACATGTGAGCCTGTATGAGTGTTAACATGTGTGTGAGTTTATTTAACATAGTATTGTCTGCTCTCTTTCAGAATATACCTACAGATTGAGCCTTGAGGACGGAGTGGGTCTTCCCAAGATTCCTGTACATCCAATTGGCTACCATGATGCATTTCACCTGCTGAAGTAAAGATATTTCTCTTTTCTTCTCGACACTTTTCCAAAATTCAATCATTCAATCATTCAGAGCAGTGCTATTTGGACAAAGCCTACAGCTACGCTAGCGGCTCTGTGAAGCTGACTTCAACATGCTAACGTGCACACGATGACTATGATAGGATGCAGATGATCGGGTAGCGTTCACCATAGTTTAGCCTGTTAGCATGCTAACATTTGGTAAATAATGTCACAAGCTTTGAAGGTGAAAACTGACCTGATGGTGGTGCTGGATGAAAAGCTATTACAATTCAATCGGTGGGGGACATGAATGTATTGGTGGCAATCTAACCAATAATTGTTGAGTTATTTCAGTCTGGACTACATCGGGCCTTGAAAACATCTTGATTTGAATCTCGAATTCAGTGCAAGAAACTACCATTTTAATAGGGGTCCTTAAATAAATTGGGCTGTTGATTTGTATTTTTTTCAGGAACATGGGAGGACAGATTCCACCCAACAACTGGAAAGGAACTCTTGATGTCTCCTACAGGATTGGTCCAGGCTTTACGGATGACTTCAAGAGCCAGTAAGTGTCTACATTCAGCTTTTATGTCCAGTTAAACAATGATTACTTGTGTCCACTTCACCTCGTTTTAAACTACTGTTTTCACAGTAAAACTCTCCACACCAGTTGATGGTCTCTCCTCTCCTGCTTCACTGCTGTCTGTTTAAAATGTCTCTCCACTTTTGTTGCTCTTTGTCTCTTTCTCAGCTTTAATGACCCAGTGGCAAGTAGCCAACTGGCATACAATGGAGGCACTTGTACTTCCTGTGTGTGAGAAACATACTGAGCACATCCAAACACAAACAAGCTGCACAAATTAAGGATATAGAACATCGCCTGTGTCTTTTTGTACATTAGAACTGTGGTGAACGTTTTGTGGATTTCTGAAGGAACAATCCCCAAATCAACAAATATAATAAACTGTTATTTTCTTACTTTGCCTTAATTATTTTCCTGTAGAAGTGAATTTTGAGCACCAAACACTTCCTAAAGAACCATTCTCTGCCTTCCTCTTCTCTATTCTACTTTGTCAATCTGTGTCTGTCATTGCTTGAGATGAACACAATGAACAGGCTGATATACATTGTAAAATCAAATAGAAAAATGCCATTCTTTTGTGAATGTTTTCAAATTCTGTTCACGTTAGTCATTTCCTGTCAAAGGGAACTCTATTGATCAGTTCCTCTGTTGTCTCTTTGTTTGTCACTGTATCTTTTTCTCTCCTGTGTGAATCCCCTCTTCCTTAACCTGTCTGTCTCAGGAAGGTGCGTATGAACATCCACACTAACAACCAGATAACCCGGATCTACAACGTCATTGGCAGGATTAGAGGAGCTCTGGAGCCAGGTATACAGTACCACAATCCAACCGGCTCTAATCCTTCATTAAAGCTTTCAGCAACAATGGACACATAACCAACACATGTGTGTAACACTAATAATGACAGTCTGGACACTAATACTGAGATAATCATAATAAAAGGATATAAAAGGGTGATGAGCTCATTTAAAGGCCTTTGGTCAGAAAATGTTGCAATTTCTTTTTTTTTAAAGAAACATTCAGAAAAGCAAAACTTGCGTGGCTCAATGTATTTTATACGCTGCAGCTTTGAACAAAACTCGCAAGAAATACAATGTATCAGTCTATTTGAAAGAAAGAACTAATCGTGTGTTCAATACAGATTTAAAGACTAACGGTGTAAAGTTTGGATGGTAATTCTCATAATGTGTGCTGTTGTCTCTGTGTGTGTGTGTGTGTGTGTGTGTGTGTAGACAGGTATGTAATTCTGGGAGGGCACCGGGATGCCTGGGTGTTTGGAGGGATTGATCCCATGTCTGGTGCTGCCGTGGTCCACGAAGCAGTCAGGAGCTTTGGCTTGCTGCTTAGTAAAGGTACGTCTCTACAGGTGTTGATTGTGAATAATGGTGTCAATAGTGACTCAGTACTCAGTTAGTGTGTGTGTGTAGTCTCATCTCTGTTTGTGTCCACTCCAGGACATTGTCAGATTTATTTTTCTGCAAGGGGTGTACAGGTACCAGCATGCATGCGCTGGTCTGGTGTCCTTACAATGCCACTAAATCAAGGAGGTGTGTGTGTGTGTGTGTGTGTGTGTGTGTGTGTGTGTGTGTGTGTGTATGTATGTATGTATCTATGTAGGCTGGAGGCCTAGGAGGACTTTGATATTTGCCAGCTGGGATGCAGAGGAGTTTGGACTGCAGGGATCTACAGAATGGGCAGAGGTACACATAAACCGACCCATACACCCTCACAACACATGCACACACACACACACTGACCACACCCTTCTCTACAGGATAACGCCAAGCTGCTGCAGGAGAGAGCTGTGGCCTACGTCAACGCCGACTCTGCCATTGAGGGTGAGTGCGTATGAGTGCAGAGCTCAATATTCTCAATAAATAGTTAGTTTGGATGTAACACGACTGTGTGGATGTATATCTATTTGAATTCCAGGCATGTACACGCTGAGGGTTGACTGCACTCCATCGCTACACACTTTGGTGTACGACCTCACTAAGCAGGTGAGCAGACATATACACACAAAAATAATGGTGCAATTTGAAATTGATTTGAGCAAATTAATTTGTTCTTTTACTCTCAATCTTAAGCTGTATTCCTGTCTTTTCCTCCCTGTCTTTCTCTCTGTCTTGCCTCTTTCCCTTTCTTTCTCTGTTTGCGTGTAGATAGCCAGTCCAGAAGAAGGAGAGGAGGGAGTTTCTCTGTATGAGAGTTGGCACAAGAGGGACAACTGGACAGATGACCGTGATGCACCCAGGTACAAAGTCAGAGCCAGGGTGTACACAAACTAACAACAGAACCAACAATAAAAGACAAAACAGGTCAAGGAAAACTAAAATTCAGCAGCCACGAGAACAACGCTGCAATCAGAAGTTAGTAGAAGACAAGACAATAAGATGATTACTAATTCTTCAATGCAACTGTTTGAGAAATATTGCAGTTTTGATGCAACTATGCAATGATGTAAAGAGACTATTGAAAAGCATTAACTCCACTATCTCGTGTCTCTGTGTGGCATTGTGTTTAAAACAAGTTTTGAATGTAACGTTTGTTAGCCAATCAGTCAAATGATGCAGAAATGAATGAAACAAATCACAAAATCAGTCTGTCCTCCACTCTGGTGTGCTGTAGGATCAGTAAACTCGGGTCGGGCAGTGATTTTGAGGCCTATTTCATCCGTCTGGGAATTGCTGCAGCCAGAGCCAGATACACCAAGAACAAGGTCAGACACGCTGCACTCACAGAATGATCATTGTTATACTATATTGCTGTGTATGCTAAATAATATCTTAGTGTGTCTGTTCGTATTGTGAGCATACAACGCGGTGCATTTTATCAGTTTTAATGTTTATGATACTTGTGAAACTTAGAATACTATAATTAAAGTGATTTCTGTGTAATTTAAATGTTGAGTTAAAGTTAGAGCACAAGGAGATTGAGTATATCTCTATAGTAAAGGTTACTGTAAGCCTCTGTGTTGTCAGTGTAACGCATTGAAATGTCCTCTGTGCATTTAGAAAACAGAGCGGTACAGCAGCTATCCAGTCTATCACAGTGTGTATGAAACCTTTGAGATAGTGGAGAAGTTTTACGACCCCACCTTCAAGAGGCTTCGGGCGGTGGCCCAGGTGAGAGGTGGGCTTGTCTTCCAATTGGCCGATTCCCAGCTGCTCCCTCTCGACGTCAACCAGTATGCAGACTCACTGGTGAAGTACGCACAGAGCATCGCACAGCTGGCACAGACGCACCCAGAGGAGATGAAGATGTACGAGGTGTCGTTTGGTGAGTTGATTTTGGTCACTGTGTGCTCGGACTATGGTAATTATATATCAAGTTTAACTGAAGTTGAAATGTTTGAATGATAAAGACAACCCGCTGACTTTTAACAATAATAATTCAATAATTGTTTTCCTATATTTTCAGATTCCTTGTTTTCGGCTGCGGAAAACTTCAGCGTTGCAGCCAGGGACTTCCATGAGCGCCTGCAGACTCTCAACAGAGCAGAGTACGAGTGTAACAATAACATTTCATATGTTTTAGGTGTCCAAACAAATGCTGAAATATGAAAAAAATGTTTGTCCTTCATATTTAAATATGAGGGGAGGTGGTAAAAAAAAAAGTGGCCACTAAATTCAGTCTAGCCAAGTGTGTGACCGGCATTTTTCTGTGAATGTGCGCATCAGTCCTCTGCAGGTACGTGTCATGAATGATCAGCTCATGTATCTGGAGAGAGCCTTCATTGACCCCCTGGGCTTACCTGGCAGACCCTTCTACAGGTTAGTCTCACACACACACGCACACACACACACACACACACACACACACACACACACACACACACACAACTTGAGTACTATGACCACTAAATGGCATTGTGCTCTGCATTTTACTTTGAATGGGCAGTACAGGTAATTCCTAAAATTGCTTGCATGTCTTTAAATGTTCTATGTCAAAAAAATTACATTTTTAAATATTTGTTGCATTCATGATATTTAAATATTGATATTACAGTCATAACCAGACCGTTGCACGTTTACTCACGTGTGCACAGGCAAGAGACAAGGACGACGCAAATTAAGTTGTTTGACTGCGGGGTGAAAGGTTCAACTATCCCATCAACATCAAACAAATGTGAGAACTGATTCAACTGACAAAGAACCAGATGAACCTCTACAAAAAACGAAAAGGAAATTTGGGAAGTCTCGGGAGACAAAGTATCCCGCTATCTTTGTGCTGGACGCAAAGTTTTACTGCAAAGTATTTACAACACCTCCGTGAGTGACCCATGTCCACTAGTTGAAGGTAGCACATTCTCAGAACCACAGGGTTATAAAAGCACTCCCACTCTCTCACCCACTTTTAATTTAAGCATAGTTGAGCTCTTTTTTATCAGCAGACCTAGTTTTTGCAGCTGACTCAAAGCAGACTGTGGGAACGACTTGTTTATCATATGAGAGAGGTAGATAAAGCCACACAGGGTATATAGCATTATCTTTCAAACTGCATGTCCCATGATGTGTATCTGTGCTTTGCAGCATTACTCTTCCCAAGTTCACATTTTCTCCTGAATTAAAGCCAAGCTTACATTCCTTTAATCAACCTATGATACATACTCCACAATAAAAAAGCATAGGCTCTCAATTCCTTCTGTTGTCTTCTTCTGACACACATGTCTAAACCCTTTAGATTTGGGTTTCCCTACTTTTCATTGACCTGGTTTCTTTGCTACAGATTACTCTCACTCTATTTATAAATATTTGCAATTATATCTTAAGTAGTAATTACTAGCTGCAGTGTCTTTATTTGGCCCAATCAGGTGACTTAAATTTGACTCTATGATTGAAATTCTTGGCTTGACATTGGCTGCAGACCCATCAAAGCAGATTTGTAAGGTTCTGATCTAGACTGGATTGAATCGATAAGAACCATCCTGCATAACTGAAACTGATACTGTTGGCGCTTCATGTAAGCCTGTTTGCAGATTTAATATAAAACAATTTAAATAGTTCATAATCATGCCTAATACACGTGTAGTGCCTTACCACTAACACTTTTGAGCTTTTTTTTAAAACACCAAAATATAGAATCTGTAATACCTCCAGTACATTCCTTAACGTGGCCACGCCCCCTCTTCTCTGTTTCAGGCATGTGATTTTTGCTCCCAGCAGCCATAATAAATATGCAGGGGTGTCTTTCCCTGGAATCTATGATGCATTGTTTGACATCAAGAACTCAGCTGATCCGGAGAAGGCCTGGGACGAAGTCAAGCATCAAATCAGCATCGCAGCATTCACCGTTCATGCTGCTGCCATGACATTAACACCACCTGCATGAAGCAGGCACAAACAGTCTAAAGCCATGTGACTGAGCCATCTATTGATAATTATGTTGTATAACGACAGAATGTGAAGAGAGGGAATACAAACACACACACACACACACACACAGATGGACAATCCCTGTCATGTTTCAAGATCGTCCAGAGCTCAGTGATACAGTGAATATCTGGGGGCCATTACCAGAATACAACTTTATCATTTTTAATGTGAATAAAATAATAATGTATGTTTCAGTATTTTTTTTCAGTAATTTTTTAAATAATAGTCTCAGTCTACAAGGGAGCCAAATGAAATAAATCTATTCTTCGTATGTGGGCAAAAAAACAACTGAAATCATGTCCATGTTGGTCTGAGAAAAATCAACGACCCTGTTTTATTTACATCCATGTTGATATTTGTTGTTATAAATCGCTTCCTTTAATTTCTTTAAAGGTTTTCTAAACAATATTCACAAGAGCAATGTCCTCATGTGGCAAGTAAGCTGAACAGTTGAAGATGAAGCTGGGCTCTTTTGCTAGCACACAGCTCTACTTTTAAAAACACAACTACAGTGGATTTGTTTTGAAGATGTTAGTATTTTTTTTTTACTTGTTTTTATTAACATTTAGCAATATACATAATCCACTAAACAGATGTGTCAAACCTGTTGTCTAAGTGCTGCAGCTCTGTTTCTTGTGATTCTTCATTTTTTTTTGTTGATTTTTCAATTTCAGGATTAAAACATTAACTTTATTTCGTGGTTTATGAGGAGAGGCCAGTAAAGACCATACATTTGCCACAGTGGTTTTAGTTTTATACCACCATAGGAGGGTGCCAGAGTCAGAACTTTTCAAACACATGGTGGCTTTAAATCTCCTCTTAAACCGTTCTTTTATCTAAGAACTTGGTTTAACTGTTACTAAAAGGTAAGATATTCACTTACGTCCTATTAACGGGTTCTTTATCTTCCTCAAACACAACACTGGGCACCTGAAACTACCAGAGACATTCACCAGAGTTATATGGACATGTAAAGGGGTGCATGTATGTGAGAGGATATGTGAGAGAGGTGGTGTGTGTCTATCTGCTGTGTGGACTAGTGCCCATATAAACATAATGAGCCAGCATGTTTCTCTCAGTTAGCACTACATTACTGTGGGAATGAAGAAAATGTATTTAAAGTGACTGAATAACAGTTGAATGAGCCAGTTAAATATTGGGTAACAATTTAAAAAGATTACAATTAATTATGTAAAAGTAAAATGTGATAACTATATTCAATGTGTTGAAAGATGTTTTCATGGAAAGTGTCGGGATAGTAAACCTGACAACAGTTGTTTTGTTATTTCATAATATCCAAATCAGATGTAGATACTATGAACTATCTCACTGTGAGCTGTTTTACACTAGGTTCATGGAGAGACACTGCAAAATAAAGGCTATTGCTGCCATCTGATGGCCACTTACAGGAGTGCAGCTTTTGTTGGTTATACTATCAGCGATACATCTTTATTCTCATTTAGTTTAAACATTAAATGATGCGATACACCAATGCTCAATGCCGGTAGATTACATATGAGGTCATTAACATCAGACTACAGTAGAGAATCCAGCCTGCAAAGATACATTTATTTGTCATGTGGGTTTTTCAGGTCCTGCATGGGTGTGGTTGTTTTTTTTTTTGCATGAAGATGCAGGTTTCCAGTTTTACGAGGAAGCTGGATTGGTGCCCTGGAGCACTGCTGCAGTAACAACTCCTGCCTGGTTCAAATCACCAACTGCACAGTGCAGAGCGCAGTGAACTCTGTCCTGCAAAATCAGACGGGCTTGGAAAAAGTGGTGTGGAGCGGTCCATCTTTGGCAGCGTCAGCGTCCCCTGGAAGTGGATTTTAAGTGGAACAGCAGCTTTGGACAACCACTGCGGAAAGATCATCCTGATAGAAGATGAATTCAGATTGCTGGACAGCGACTGCCATGAGGAGCTACCTTTTATCTGCCATGGGAAACTTGTTTAACACCCTCTCTGGCATGAAATTGTTTATCAAATTCGTGTATTTTTTAAATTTTAGGTTTAAATGAAAGGCCTTGCCATAAATAGGTCACCACTGGGGACCAATGTGTGAAAACTGTTTGTGTGTTCCAGGTTAAAAGCAGAGTGTTCTGTCTCCTTTATATCCTGCAGGTTCTAAATAAAGACTAGATGGGGATCTGGAAACTACAAGGGTCATTTACACCATTACTTTCATTGAATATTTTGGGCTACTGATTTTTGCATCCTCTTTCAAATAACTGACTGATGTGCTTTTCTTCCCTGTAAAACCAATTTTGTAAGTAATGTAATGTAGGTTCATCGTTATCATTCATCCAATAAAAAACACATTCTCACCCACTTCTCTCCATATTTTGGTTTATACATGCTTAATAATAATAATGCCAAGCGCCAACAACTTGTGTACACACACACACACACACACACACACACACACACACACTGCTGAGCAGCCAGCTTGATGAGTTTACCTTTGTGTTTTAGCACGATTGTATGAAGTGTATTATTAAGTATACAACTTTGAGCACTATGCTTGTATAACGTTACCTCGCCGCTTGTTTTTGAGTTTGGATGAAGTCTGTTTTTTATCGACGCTTTACAGCATTCGTATTCATCAATCAAACACTACAGAGTATTACTACTACTGAGTGCATTGCTCTAGTTACCTCTGTGTCAGGTGTTATAAAACAAATACACACAAATGCAAAAAGATTCAGAACCACCACATCTTTTGTATTGACGCAGATAAGGTAGAGAGAATGATCAATTAAAAAATTCAGCGAGTACAAAAAGCATATATGGACACATAAGCAGACACGTGCACACACACTGTGATTTAAAGCTGAACCTATTTAAAGTTACTACAAGGAACTTTAGAGTGGTTTTCAAACTGTCTCAGATTAGTACTGATGCCTCTCCATGACCTTCATAAGTAAACAAAGACCATCAGCGAGAATATTGGCTATTTCTATAAAGTTATTCTTAATGCTCGTCATCGGGTCTGATTCCCCTGCAAAACCAGACCCACTGCAAGGAAGAGAGGCACATTTTAAAACTCACATACACACCTCTCAGTGACAAAATGTGAAATCTGAGGGGCCTCTGTGTGGCCTCCGTCAATCTAAATAATAGTGGTGTGTTGGCACTAATGGTTAAATGTTGGATATGAACAGATCAGGCACATTGGTTTCATATCACAATGTAGTATGAGGGTTACTCTGAATCAACAAAGTCACACGTCTTCCAAGTGTCATCACATCTTCTGCTCAGTTTACATTTCAACAACTCTCTAAACAGCACACGTCTTCTTTTGTCTCTCCGATCTGTTTGGTGGACGAGAACCCAGACCAACGTATCTGAATAAAACATTCACAGCTGGATAAATTAAAATCCAGAATGCCTTTTGATTAGTGCTCATTGTAAGACATAAGTGACATAATTAAGTATTGCATAAGCTCCGCTGTACTAGAATGCATAGAAAAACAGTTGAATGTGTCTGGTGCAGCAGGAACATTACCGACACAGAAAGCCAAGGTCTATCGTTATCAAAGCTTAAATGACACAGACTGGAACACGTCACCGTTGAGTGTTTTGAGCGTCACGCTTTAATCACTTATGGATTCAAGGTTTAAATAACGGAGCTGTAACGGTGCCCTTCTTTCCTCCATCATATCCTTAAAGTGACTCTGATTATCACGATGCGATCTAACCCCGACTCACTCATCCTTCTGGATCATTTCTCTAAGGCACTCCTTTAAGTTCTCCACGCGGTTTTCTTCAGCAGTCAGTATTGTTTGTTCAAGCAGCCGCTGCACATCATCCAGTCCGGCCACCTTCGGCGCGCGGTGGCTGTAGAGACACCCCCGCATTAGACTGTCGTGACAGTCCGGATTGAGCATGCCGCACAGGAAGCGCAGGAACATGTCGTAGTGTCCCGGCGGGGAGGCGAGGGTCCGCGCCAAGGCACACTGGACCAGGCCCACTGCGGATTTGGTCTGGTCCTTGGATGCGAAGAGCTTGGGCTTGTGCAACAACGCCGTGTCCAGAACGTTCTTGCACTCTGAGCGAAACATTGTGAAGACGTACAGAGCGGCAATGAACTCCTGGAGGAGAGAAGACGGGGGGAGACTTTTAGGGTGAATCTTTAGGGGTGTCCTGGTGGCCGAAGGGCCGGTGTCTAGTAGGTGGATTTCGAGCGGCAGCAGCATGATTTTTCTAATGTTTTTAAACATTTTCTTCTTTTCTTTAAGTTCTTATCTTGAGTCCCTGTTTTAATTGTTACATTATCTGTTATTATCTGCAGCGTAAAAAGAAAGGTATAACAGAATATTGAGACTTGAGTACCGTGAGATGGAAAGAGTTTTACCTGAAAGCTGAAGTGCAGGAAGCAGTACGTCCTCTTCCTGTCTGAGGCTGCACTGGGGAGCTCAGTGCAGAGGCCGGAGAACACCGTCACATCCGTCACCTTCATACCGAACTCCTTCACATCCTCTTCAAAGAACACGCCGGTGTTCCTCTCCAGCATCTTTAAGGCCATCTTGCCGATCTTATTGAGCTGGTTGTTTTCATCAGTGCCCCATTTCTGAGTGCAGAGAGAACATCGAAATGACGAAGTATGACGTTAAATTTGCTTCTTGACAAATTACTCTTTTGTTATTTTTGAACAATTCAGTCTTTCAAGCTCCATTTTTGATTTTGTTGATACTATATCATCAGGTGTTCAAAGCTTGGCGTAATTGTTGAGGCAGAAGTTATAATACAGTCTGAAAATGATAAGCTTCATAAATATATTTATTTTAGGTCAATTGCATCAGACTGCATGAGATGGTACAAGTGTCCATGATGTGGAATCCCGCTAATTCAAATTTTAACTATTAGTCCGCTCGTAAAAAGTAAATTACAAAATATTAATTGCATTCTATTACCAAATAAATAAAATGAAAGGTTGATGAAGAAAATGTGCGGCACCATAACTTTTTTTACCGTTTTACTTTCATACTTAAAAAGAATATTTTATGGGATAGTCACCGGGAACTACGACGTAACTTATACAATCAAAGACACCGACAAGTGCTCGTTACCAGATCATTCTCCGGCAGTCCGTAGTAGTACTCCATGTTGCGATTGGTCTGGAAAATCAGAATGCTGCCATGGAAGGGCGTCAGCCTGGGGGGGTGCACCCCATAGTCACGGTATTTGTAGCAGCGCTCGAACACCGTGGCCACCATCCAGCAAACTAACGGGTGTCGAGCTAGTATGCGGAGCGATGGGAGGCGCTTGTAATGTGCCAAGATATTACTCGTTAGCTCTGCATTGCAGAAGCGGATGCTCAGGAATTCATCTACCTTCTCGTCACTGGAGGAAAGAGGGACAAAAACAAAAAGACAACTGGACTGAAACAGAGAAGTTGAAATGAATTTAACTTATTAAATTATATTAGTGAACATAATCAAACATTAACAGGATGGTATAACACAATGCTAAAAACAGCAGAAAATACAATAACAAAAGTAAATTAAGACACACACACCTAAAGCTCTGTAATTCTGTGACAACGTCTATGTATTGAGATGGTATTTGTGAGACAGCGGCCTGTCTCCCCAGGATCCAGACGCGGGCGCCACGAAGCACAGTACCCCGGATGATATTTACTATCAGGACGTCAGGATGTGCTTGGGTGTAGTTGTCGTTTATCACAGGAGCATTCTGTGGAGAAAGACACATATATATATATATATCCATCAGTTTCTGGTACGGGTGCGCCGGTCAGGATTTTTGGGGCAGATCACAGATCGCTGGAAGTAGTATCGCCCAATCCGATCACGGCTGATTATCGGTGGCCGATCAATCGGAGCACTCGTGTTTGATTTGTTAGATTAGGAACAAATAAGTAGACTTTGAAACATGCCTGGATTGCTCAGTAGACCATTGCTTATTTTCAAAAACTGCCAATTGATTAAGAGATTCGTTATATTGTTAATTGTAGTTATAATTCAGGCTCTAGATTTCTTTTACTGTCACAAATGTGAATGGGTCTCAGGTGTATGTGTGCAGATGGGATACCTGCCAGTCCAGCGAGGCTTGGTAACAATCAAATGAGTCCATTATGATGAGAAATTTACAGTCTTCCTCCTCCAGGTGTTTCAAGTCTTTGCACTCAGGATTATGGTATTGTATCAGTTCCACGACGGACGACTTCTGTGAAAGAGCAAGCTCTTTTTTCCGCAGGAGCCAGAAGGTTCGGAATGAAAGTTTGATGACAAACTGCAGATCCTTAGAAAAACATGGACAGGAAAATGATGTCAGTGACACAAAAAAATAGTCAAAAAAACAAAAACGTAACTTTTGTTATTTGATTCACTTTATTGGCCTTTAGTTCCGCCCAATCCAGGGAGACTCTCCCGACAGAGACGGTCAGACCGATTCCTGGAATCCCAGTGGTCACCACCGTCCTCACCGGCTTGCCGTCACCCGTCTTTAGTCGGAACAGATTGTTCAAGCCCACGAAGGTGTCGGCAGTGGGGACCTGGAGAGTTGACGGACTCATGGGACTCCTCCCATACTCGTGGGAGGGGTCAACTCCTCCGTAACCACGGGTGGTAACATGGGGCTCGACGTAGATGTTATCGAGGAGATTCTGCCTTCCGGCTCGAACGACCCCCTCGCGGATGATTTGGTGTTTTTCTATCAAATACTGCTTCAGGCGATAACGGATCAGCGCTGGTGGTGGAGAGAGAGAATGAGGAAAGTTACAAAAAAAAAACGACATGTGGTCTGGCATCTGGATCTCCCACTGGAAGAACAATCTACCTGCAACACCACCTCTCTGCCTAGTTATAATAGTCTCATCAAACCAATACTAGACTGTGTGTTGAGATCAAACCAGAGTTTACTTGCCTCTCTTGCAGCTATTCCTCAGTTCCTCTGCCTCTGGTTTCTTGGCGATATTTTCTAGGGTATTTATTGTATGCAACAGGGAACGATCCTGGCCTGCAGAACAGAATTACAATAAAACAAAAATAAAAACAGTGAGGAATCACTAACGGCACATTGGTCCATGTGTACTTATCATTATAAACACATTTTACCGTTAATGAAACAATAATTATTCCAGCTGCTAGATTTCCTGTTTACAGTTGTCTTACAGCTAAACTCTACTTCTTAAACAATCTAGCTCACAAAGCGTTCCCTTCACAGCTTCACACTGTTTGTACTACAGCGGTGTTTTCTTACCAAGCATCTCCAGGCTCCTGTCCACAAAATCAAGAAGGTCTCCCTCCATCACCTGTGGCAGGGACATCTTTGGTTCCCACTGGTAAAACGACACCTTAAATTTGAGTAAGTCGTCACTGGTGAGCCCCGTCAAAACATTCTGGATGCTCTGTAGACAGAGAGAAGGGCGTAAAAACACACGTTAACATGTTGATGGGGGCACCTTTTGGGTCATATCAAGTAAATGTCACAATTACATTATTGTTGTGTTATTAGGATGTATCACAATCAAAGAAACGACTAAGTTGAAATGCATCATCAGGTCAAACAAAGTCCTGAGAACAGAGCAAAAAACAACGACTTCTGTTAAGAAAGGAGAATATTATATTATATATTAGGCATCACACCAACCTTGAATATGTGGGGCAGGTCCTGCTCTGGGTGTAGTCTACCTGGCTGGCCGTTCTCATCCTGCATTTCGTCTTCCGGTTCAACAGGCTCAGGTGGTTCAGGGGAATTAGCTATCAAAATTTCATCTGCATCCTCCTCCTCATCGTCGGGTTCTGAGAAATCCCCCAGATCAGAAGACCTGACAGACACACCAGGAAGAACAGTTAAGAAAGAGCACTGCAAATATCCTCCAAGGATCACCATGATGCTTTGTCACGTTTTTGATTTTGTGTGTGTGTGTGTGTGTGTGTGTGTGTGTGTGTGTGTGTGTGTGTGTGTGTGTGTGTCCACCTGGTGTCAATGACCACAGCTCCCGGTGGTCTAGTCTGCTGCGTGGTCATGGTGTAGAGGGTCTCTGGAGACGCTGAGCGAATCATCTGCAACCTGGCAAAAAGATGAGGGACAACAGCCCCCTTGGTGAGACCAGGTTATCTGTGGTACAATGGCCAACCACAAAAACACCTGGTTGATGCTTAAATATTAAACGAAGAGACACAGTACCCTGTCCCGTCATGAGCAGTCGATGCAGGTAGCGCCATTGGAAACAGGAAAGAGAAGGAGACCTTGTCAGCCTCTTCCATTTTTTCCTCCTCCTCCATCACATCATCGTCACTCTTCATTGAACCATAGCTGGAGGGAGGCCTCTTCATCTTCTCCTCCTTCTCCTCATCTTCCTCTGAATTCTCCTGCCTAAAAATCCTGAGGGGACGAAAAGCAGGTGTTCAAATGTGAGGTATGTGACACAGTTTTTTAAATTAGTTTGATAGGTTATTAATTGCCAACTGGGCTACATGTCAAAAATAATACATATGGACAATATGAAAAGTTAGGTCAATCAAAGACCAAGTAGTTGAACAAGATGTGACACATTTGGGCCATACGTGACAGTTGAACGCACGTGGGTGTGACAAACCTAACGTCAACCGACGGAAGTAACTTTGCTTGTGAAACGTCTCCTTAAAGTGACAGAGAATTAAAGATGGCAGGTGAACTCCTCTCCTGCTGCCAAAGAGCTGTGCGACAACACCCACCTTTCCACTTCAGTGTCCGGGTCCATCTCTCCGGCAGCAATACACTCAAACACACGAGCTGTAGAATGGATTTATGTAAATCCTACGTGTCGCAATAACTTTAACGTGCGTTACATCCAAAAGACGTTAATACAACGTGCGAACGCTACTGTAAAATAAAGGTTGTTGGTTATGCTAACGTTTATACTTAAGATAACATGTTTATGAATAAATGGCCACGTCAGAAATTAACGTTTACTAGCAAATAATGAATATAAATAAAATAATCTATAAACTGTAAGGCTATATGAGCCAGCCGTCGGTTTTTAAGTTATTTCCTCTTCGTTGTCAGCTCCAACTTTCGGTTCCTGCTCATTTTGTGTTTCGCCAATAACAGTATGACTTCCGGTCCACTTCAAAATAAAAGCATTATCTCGACAAACGTCAATCCACAAGCAGTCGGCACAAGAATGCGTCACATGACTCATCCTGGCATATTCTTCACGCAAACATGGTCTAATGTGTGCATATACATGAAATATATACTCAAACTATACTGTGTGATGGGAGCATTTTTGTCAAAGAATCCTTGCTGATTGCTAAGGCACAAACGAAATACTCAGTTTTGCATGTACTTTATCTTCATGTTGTCATAATGTAGTTGTCCAATTTATAAGTAGAAAAACCTTTAGGCGCTCAAAGTTAGCCAAATTGTACATTGTACGGTGAATTGACAGTTACTTCACTTCAAAATCCCCCTTTACTTTCGATGCATATAGCAGATATCAAATTACTTACACACCAAACTAATCATTGTACAATATTAAAAGTTCCATCAGACTGCATGGCCTATTCTACAAGGTACGACGGTGAAATATGCATGCTAGAACTACAAAACAAAATATTTTCCTTTTATTCTGAAGGTGTTAATGCGCATACCGGAAGTCTAAGAGTTGCTCAATAGTCAGGAACTCGGGCGATAAAAGCATGGATGCATTATAAAAAGATTAAGATTAGAGTACACCCATGGCTGAAATAAACAGCACTATTCTACAAAGGTTTACACGGATTGTAATTGTTGAATTATGGATGAATCAGTCATGTTCTTGGAAACACACTGAACATCCGTGTCTCCACTGTTCAACTTCTAAACATGTAGATCAATACAATTTTGTATTTGTAGCCTATCAGATATCAAAATCCATCTTTGTTACAAGCAATGGTGTCTGAAAATGTTGATGCCGTGACAGATATGTGTATAAAATAATGAGGTGAAGCTCTGGACCATCCATGGACTCCAAGAACTGGTAAAGGCTCAACTAGCAGGCTTTCACACAATGGGACATTTAAAATCGTTTTATTAACAAACATGTAAATATAATACAGAGGAAATAAAAGTAGATTAAGACAAGATTGTAAAAAGCCCCGATTATAAAAAGCCCTGAAGGACAGCAACAAAAAAAACATCAGGGAGTGAAAAAAAAAAAAAAAAAAAAAAAAAAAGTATAATCAAGTAGAACCGTAGACGATTATGAATCCAATTTGGGAAGTTGTCCTCACACCTTCAACCTGCTCATCATCTGTGGAATAAAACAAAAATAATAATCTGATTAAACCAAAGCTCACAGAGAAACATGTTAAGACGATATTACATTAAGTAGAAGTGTAAATCACATGCTGTTAGTGTTGAGTGACAGATACACGTGGACACCCCGTAGGTTGTTATATAAATGAAAACACCGTGAGAACAAGCAGCCAGTGGAAAGAAGCAAACCGCCACTCACTAAATAAAAATCACTTTAATGACCTTTTAAGACTTCCAGCAACATTCTCTTCATTGACAGGTGCGTGTTTCTGAAAACAGTTACTGAGATGTAACAACTGAACACATTTAAAGCAAGATCTCTTTCACCATCATGTCGTTTTGTTTCATGAGTGAGATCGCTACTGAGGGACAGACAAATATAATCCATCTCCAGTCGTTTGGTAATTTTGCATTTATTAATTTGGTACAGTTTATTAGGTACACTTGTATATGTGCAGACAAAAAGGGTCGGTACTGTTACTGTAAAGTACCAATGAGGTAGTAAAAGAGCAAAGTTAATGGCACAGGTTTGACAACATTGGTACCAGAGCATCTCCACTACCTGCTGCTGTTGTTGTTGTTTGATTATGAGCTGATGGAGATTCTACGTCATACCTGCTGCCTCATATGCACTTCATCTAAACAGATTTCTCCACCCCTGCCACTCCACAACAATGATTATCTAAGTGTGGCCTGTAAAATTCAGAGTGGTTTTGTCTGTGAGAGTTATTACCTTGCGAGCACTAGCCGTCAGAGGAGACTTTGCAGACCTGCTGGTGGCTCTCTGGCCTTTAGAGGCCATCTGGGGTGACTTGGAGCCTCTGCCTGCTCGGACACTTCCTGAAGGCATGTTTTCCTGGCACTTGCGCGCAGATGTGCGAGCGGGCGACTTCTTAGAACTTTTGCCCGGGGATTTTCGGGTGGAGCTGCGCAGTTTGCTCAGCCCTTTCTTCAGGTAGTTGCCGTTTTTCGGGGTGTTCTCAATATTGAACATCATAGACTCCCTCCGATCAGCCTGAGAGAACAATAGAGGTGGAACTTAAATTTATACACGCAAAACATTATATGTACAATTGTGTTTAATTAAGACAACATGAATAAAATAAATTAGTCATCATCTTTGTTTTCAATTGACCAAATTATTCTTTGTGTGGGTGCGTGTGTTGGACTCACTGGACTGAGGGCAGGGCGAAGCTGAGAGCTTGAAGGTCCACTGATCTTGTTTTTGGGAGTGAGTGGACGTGGGAAGCAGCTGGCCTTCACCCTTTTCTGTCAGATGGAGAAAAGAGAAAGACAAGTCAAGAAAAAGACAGAGGGTTTCAGGAAGTTACATTTCAGATTCATGGTCATTTATTACCTTTATATCAACATAAAGAGTAAGCTTTCAGACTACCAATGAAATAAGAAACCAACACAGTAACAATAAGCATTATAAAAAAAGTCAATTTTAAATGCTAAACTAACAGTATTTATACCATCAATAACTATAAATTAAAGAAATCTAAGGAAAACATTAAAGTTGAAGAAAAATAATGTACAATTGTATGCTATAAAACATTCATCTACTGTGCTTTAGTCAAGCGCAGCCATGAGGTTACACTAGATGTAACAAATATTCCTGTGCATTCTAATGCGAACCGACCTCAGGTGAAGCGTGATGTACGGACAACGTCGATGCAGAGCGCTTTGTGCTGACAGTTTTTAACGGCAGCTGGTCCGGCATCAGGGACAGACGATGTGAACGAGTACTGGCAGCGGCACCCGAGTGTCCCGCCATGAAGGAGACCCGGTGGGAGGCTAGAGAGTCTTGCAGCTGGCCGGGCATCGTGGACGCCCGACGGATTGTGTCCGATGGGTCACCCATACGGAGTTCTTCGTCTGTGAAAAGGAATGTACTGCCACGGCAAGTCTAGGAGAACAGAGAAAGAGATTTCATAAAAAATAAGTATAATGTATATGTGTGACTGTATTCCCATCATGTTCAGTGTGTATGCAAGTGTCCCTCTCTACTAACATCAGACTCTACGGGGTAGCTGCTCTTTAGATGAGGAAGGCAGGCCATGTTCCTGGTCTGGAGCTCTGCAATCCTCCTCCAATCATCAGATCCGCCTTCCGGCTCGTTCTCTACCCCTGCACAGAACGTACTAGTGGCTGAAGATGTAGAAAAGAAAAAAAAAAAAAAAGAGTTACATACACACCAACTGTAATACCCATCTGGGATCAATCACCATGTATTAGTAACTAATTAGTAGATCGGCCCCCTAAATGTTGATGATCCAAAGTCTAATCACAATTTTGTCCCTTTTTTTTTTTAGATACATCACACTTACACTGTGAATGGAGTGTGCTGCGTCTGTAACCTGGAAGACCGATGAGCTGGTCGCTGGCAGCGCCGGTCATTCTGGCAGGTGTGTCAAACGACTCCAAAGCCACGGGTCGAGCAGAGTGGGAACTGGAGAGGTTTGGGTGGGAGCGAGCCGATGACAGACTGTAGAAAGTCTCATCTTCACCGCCGCCTGGGGTTTTCTACGATAACAGTTCAACAATCACTCAAAGGCTACAGTAATACTAGAGTGTGGAAATGTTTTTGAAAGGGCAAGTTTAAACCTTTGGGTTCAACCATTTGACTGCATCTTTACACTGCTGGAGTGTTCTGGGAGCAGTACTCCCAACAACATGAAAGGTACACAGAGCTCTTTAATTATAGTTACAGCAAGATGGTTAAAACCTACCACAACAATGTTAAAGATAACAAATTAAGAGTTGAATTTAAGAGTCAGCTGAACCCTCAAAAAACACAAATAATCCAATGTCATCATCATAATGACTGCATTTGAAAAATAGTGAGGAAGAACCCATTGTGATTATTCAAATGTAGCGTCTTCAACTGTGTGTGTTATTGTGAACATGCAGTAAGTGTGCAAGTGAGTGTCCTCCACCTTGGTCATGGTGATGTTAATAACCTGTGTGGTCCTGCGTCGTTTGACAGATGAAGATGGATTTTTCCGGGTTGAATCCAGTTCCATGTTGTGCTCTGTACCGGTCCTAGGCGATGACAAAGGAAACAAAGATCTCAATAAAAGAGTATGGAGAAAAGACAATGATTCTGGTTTCACTAAAATCTGGAAATTGTCTGTATAGACTACAGAGAAATGCCCAGGGATACGTTTAAAAATAAATTTAAAAATAGACAAATGAGTCTGTAACTTGAGTAATTCAGTATTAGTTTGTGCATGATTAAGGCCTGGAGCCTGGAGAAGGCTGAGTAAATATAAGCAATTCAAAGACACTCACGTCTGCAGTTAGTATACACTTTACTGAAAATTAATTTAGGGGAACTCTACAACACCCTCCACTCTCACTCACTCACTCATTGTAAACAATAAAACCTCCTAAAAAGGTGGCCATTATGTGAAACTGTGTGACGTACCTGTTGATCTGTCTGCTGTTTAAAGGTGTGAAATACAGGGTTTCCAGAGACTCTTCCTGTAGACCTCGACGTTTGGCTGCCAAGCGCTCTGAACTGCGAACAAGCGGTGTGCTCGACTCATCAGGCGCTGACAGTTTCCTGCAACGGTAAGAAAAAAAAACAGTATTGTGCGAGATTGCAAGCACAATATATTCCCACAATGCCTCCGATGTAAGATTTCTTCTCGTCTCTTCTTTACTTTGTTACGAGCACGGCCCTAAAAGAAGTCATGCTTACGTATCTGAGCGGTGCATTACCTTGTAGCGTTCAAAGAGTCTTCCAGAGAGCTCTGGTCCAGGCTGTCGGAGCTCTCGGATCTCTTTAGCT